TCCCACTGAAGCCAATAATTCTTTGCAGTCGAATCCCTAGGCGCTAACTCCTCACGAAGAGGACGTCTATCTATTACTTTTCCTCGATAAATGTCCGCAATTGAAGGATCTTCTAACTGAGCCCTTTTCCAGTCTATAGATTCAACCTCCCCAAAAATTATTCTTCTGATAAATTCTTTATTAATTTCCTCTTTAGCTTCAACTTTACTGCAATAGTTACAGGATCCCTCAGCACAAGGACGCCTAGACAGTGCGTCAGCATTCCCGTGTGCTTTTCCTGCACGATGTTTCACCACAAAATCATACTGTTGCAGACGCTCCAGCCACCGAGCTAACTGGCCCTCTAAATCCCTAAAGGACATCAGCCAGCGTAACGATACATGATCAGTCCTAATTGTGAATTTCCGTCCATAAAGATAATGATGAAAAGTCTTTAATGATTCTACTAAAGCTAACAATTCCCGACGAGTTACACAATAATTTCTCTCAGATTTACTAAAAATGCGGCTATAATAAGCCAAAACTTTCTCTTTCCCATCTTGGATCTGAGATAGAACTCCGCCTAAACCATGATTGGAGGCGTCAGTATCAAGAACAAATTCCCCAGTTTCCAACGGAAATGATAAAATTGGAGAGGACATCAAGCTCCGCTTTAGCTTTTCAAAAGCCTCTTGGCAATATTCGTCCCAAATAAACTTTCTAAAATTTTCGGTAAGAAAAAACAACGGTTTTGCAATTAAAGAAAACCCCTTAATAAATTTTCTATAATATGAGCAAAATCCCAAGAAACTCCGTAATTGTTTCTTGTTTTGAGGAACTGGCCAGTCTCGTACAGTCTCAATCTTTTTCGGATCCGTAGCGATTCCATTCTTAGAAATTACATGTCCTAAATACTTTACCTCTCTTTGAAAAAAAACGCATTTTTCTGGGTTTAATCTTAAATTCGCTTTCCGTAAAAGATTAAAAACCTCCCTCAGGTTCGCCAACATCCCCTCGAAAGTCTGACTAAAAATAATAACATCATCTAGATAAACCATACAAATTTTATTCAAAATTGGTCTAAGAACCCTCTCCATCAGACGTTCGAAGGTTGCGGGAGCGTTACATAAGCCAAAGGGCATTACCGTAAACTGCCATAGACCGTTACCAACCGAAAAAGCCGTTTTTTCTTTATCCTGAGAACGAAGTTTAACCTGCCAGTAACCACTTTTCAAATCCAAAGTAGTAAACCAAGAATTTCCAGATAAACGATCCAAAAGATCATCAATCCTAGGAATAGGGTAAGAATCCTTCTTCGTAATAGCGTTTAACTTTCGATAATCAACGCAAAACCTAATCGAACCGTCTTT